GTCCCCGGGGGCTGGGCACGGGGCTGGGCCCGGGGCTGGATCCTTCGGTGGGGAGGGCCCACCCCCTTTCTAAGAACTGGATGTCAGTGGACTCCAGGCTGAGCTCCGGCAGCCCCCCTCGAGGGCGGGCCTGCCACTGCCCGTTGTGGGAAGGAGGAGACAGAGGCCCAGGCCTAGAACGGAGAGGACCTTCGAAAGGGCTGCCCCCAGCAAAGGCCCATAACTGTTTCCGCCTCCTGGCTCCCAGCAGCCTCGGAACCAGAACCGATCCACCAGAGGGGTGTGTCAGACCACTGGTGGGGACAACCTCCTCCGTGTTCCAGCCGCTCCTTCCTTCCCGACCTGCGGTGAACCCTGACCACTCATGCCTGGGGTGGCCTATTTGTCCTCAAGGTGCCAGTCATCGAACCTCCAGAATAACCTCAGGAAGGTTTCCAGCCACCAGATACCTACCCTGGGGCCGCTGAGGAGAGATTGCACTCAGTTCACCGAGGCCAGAAAGGCCAACATGTGAGCTGTGGGAGCGTGAGGGAAGGGGGCAGGGCATCTTTCTTTTCTTTCCTCTGCCCTTGGCCCATAAACTTACCTATCTGTCCATCTACTCATCCATCCATGTGTCCATCCACCATCGGGTCTTCCACCAAAGCATCATAATCCGTCTGAGTCCACCCATCCATCCACCCACCCACCCGTCCACTCATTCATCATTACATCGCTCTATCCTCGAATCCGGTTTTCTCCCAACACATTCAAGACTCATCCATCAACATCTATGACTCCATCTACCCATTAATCTGGTCTTCTACCAACACATTCATAATTCACCCCTGAATCCATTCATATATTCATTCACCCATCCATCCTTGTATATATCTTATCTATGAGCCAGGTCTTCTACAACCTATTCATTAATCCATCCTTCCATCCACCCATCTAGTCAGTCATTCATCTATTCACAAATTCCCACAGTTCTATCCACGAATCCGAGTTATATATTAATTATCTAGAAATCCTTCTCTCCACTTATAAATCCAGGATACTATTCATCTCCAATCTAGTCATGAAGCCATCTACAAGTCTACATACCCATCCACATAATTATTCATCCACCCATTCATACATCTACCCATCCTCCTAAGCTCTTCTCTTCCATTCAGATGTTTTAATTAATTCATCCATCAGTCCATCCATCCACCTACCCACACACCAGTCTTCCATCCTTTGCCCAGTCCACTATTCATTCACCCATTTCTTCTTCTACCATGTATTAGGTTTTATTCTATGTCGAGTATTGGGGGAAATTAAATAAGGGATGGAGGTAGGAGAAGGGCCTGGGCACTAGAGCTCCCTGGGACTTAGAAACCATAGCTTGGAGGAATGGAGGGGGAAAGAATGCAGAAAAACCCTCCAGCTTAAACAGAATTAGACAGGGGTGAAGGGTGAAGCCTGCCCATGAATGGAAAGACCCAGGGAGAGTGAGTACATGACTTACATACCATCCTTCTAACCCCGGACCCACGGCAGGCAGTACTAACTGATCACCGCACTTTTCCCCACTGAGCCTCAGACCGCTTCCTGACACCACACTCCGTGCAGACACCCCTGATGGATCAGAGAAGGTGCCAGAAATGAAACACACTGGCCAACCCAGGAGCTTTAAATCGCTCAGGCCAGGCAGACACCCCGCTTCTCATAAGAGATAAGAGCAGCGGTTCTCAACCCGTGGGTCGCGACCCCTTTGGGGATTGAATGACCCTTTCACAGGGGTCGCCTAAGACCATCGGAAAACACAGATAAAATTACATATTGTTTTTGTGATTAATCACTATGCTTTAGTGATGTTCCATTTGTAACCATGAAATTGGGGGTCACCACAACATGAGGAGCTGTATTAAAGGGCCGCGGCATTAGGAAGGCTGAGAGCCACTGAATAAGAGTATGGCACTCATGACCTCCAGTGTGAGAACAGCAGGGACGGACACATTCAAAGAGTCCCATATTCAGGAGCTAATTAATCCCCACGCACCTTCCAGGGGGTGGGGCTCCCTGGTGGGCCCTGGGGTGGGGGGAGGCCAGGGTGCATTAGAACAGGAGCGGAGGAGCTGAGGGTCCAGACTGTGGGCAGAGCTGGCTGTGACTCGGCCCGGCCCTAGCCGGCACCGAGCGGGTGCTGATACGCCGACAGCTATTGGCTGCAGTAGGTCCAATGCCTGCAGCCAGGCACCGCCTGGCACGTCTCCTGCCGGCCCGGCTCTTTAGTGGGCTGATGAAAGGCATCCCCTCTGGGCCCACACAGACAGGAAGATACGGTCAGATAAGTGGATGCAGGCATATCAATATGTACGGACTTGCGGTCGAACATGGCGTGTCTGAATAACAGAGCCATGGATGGCTCAGGCAGGCCTCTTACAGCCTTGGCCTTGAGGACAACATTAACAGCAATACATGTAACAAGAGCAGCTCCCCTTTACGGAGCACAGAGCCTGGACTAGATGCCTCACCCAAGCTATTTGATACTCACCAAACCCCCGTAAGGATGCTATTCTCGTGTCTATAATACGTAATATGTCGTTTAAAGGGGAAAGCTGCAAGCGGAGACCTGAGGACAGTCTCCCCAAGATCTCCCTGCTGGGGGCGGCGGGGGGCGGGGCGAGGGAGGCATGGCTGAGACTGACTGACAATAAGGACAGTTCCCCGTTAGAGATGTTTACCTCCGGCCCTGCAGCCCCTGGCAGGCGCCTGCAGTCCACTCCACCTCTTCACAGCCCCGCGTGATGGGTGTGCCCGGGACTCCCTGTACAGATTAAAAACCGGAGCTCGAGGCCGACCCAGCGTGGCTCAGTGATTGAACACAGACCTATGAGCCGGGAGGTCCCGGTTCAATTCCTGGGGGGCATGCGGGAGGCAGCCGGTCAATGATTCTCCCTCATCATTGATGTTTCTATCTTTCTCTCCCTCTCCCGTCCTCTCTGAAATCAATACCAAAAATTTGAAAAACAATAACACGCACCTTCAAGAGTTTCCATTGAAACCCAGGACTGTCTGACTCCCAAGTTCACACCCGTCCTCTCCGTGCTGAAATGCCCTATGTGGGAGGATTCAAATCTTGCTTTCCATCCCTTACTGGCTGTGTGACCTTGGGCAAGTTGCAGGGCACCTCTGTGCCTTGGTTTTCTCATCTGCAAAATGGGAACAGTCGTTGTGTGCCATGGAGTTGTGTGGGCTCGGAGGGTGCTGCGTGCTGCATGCTTGGCCCAGAGCCTGCAGGCAGGAAGTGCTCAGAGAGGCCGGCTGCTGTGACTGGCAGCCGGTGGAGTGTTGTTGGGACACGGAGTGGGGCTCAGGCCCCAGCCCTCCCCTGAGCTCTTGCCCCCTTCCACAGTCCCTGCGGCCTACAGGCCCCCAAGCTCAAGGCCGCGCTCAACCGCAGCTCCACCGCGCTCCGAGGGGAGGCAGCCGCGGGGCACAACAGGCGGTGTAGCCCCTTCCGAGTGCGATTTGCTGACGAGACCCTACAGGACACAGCGTTCCGCTACTGGGAGCGGAGATGTGCACGTAAGCAGATGGGACTCCAGAAAGTTCCAGCCTGGCCCTGGGGGAGCAGAGGCTGTGGCCCTGGGTCTGGGAGTGAGGCGCCAGCTGCAGAGGAGGTGCCTGAGCTGGCGGAGGAGGTCAGGTGACCTTCAGGGACCAAGTCCAAGGTCCAGGAGAAGGGCCCCAAAGCAGGCGGCTCCAGGCAGAGCCGCAGGGCTGGAGCAGGAGACATTGGCTGCCCAGGCCTCGCCACCCCCGAAGGACTGCTTGCTGCCAAGGGTTCCCACACGCCGCACCGGCCCCCCTCGGAACCGGCACCCACGGCCTCCCACCCACAGGTCTCCGGGGGCTGGAGACGGTGGGAAGGCACCGGACCATCTCCTTCCCTTCCTCGTGAAGGCAGACCTGGAGGAGGAGGTGCCCAGAAAGGTCCAGAAGATTCAGCCTCTCTCTTGGGAAGACGGGCACCCCCTGGTCTGGCCAAGAAGCAGGGAGCCAGCAGGCCCGGGTCCCCGGGAGAAGTTCGCTCAGCTCCTCGGGGATGAGCGTGGCCGTCTGTCGGTCTGGCCTCGTTTCCAGTGTTTTCTGGTGTCAGGAGGCGGGGAGAACATTTCTCCTTGCCCTGGTAGACCCTTCACCAAAGCCCCCTTTCCAGCCGCCCAGCCTCTTCTCTTCTCAGGATCTGTCTTTGTGAGCACCTACTGTGTGCAGTTTCAGGACACAGCTGGCCCAAAGCCTA